AGTTGAATAATCCTCCTGTAATGCCGTATCTCTGTAGCTTACTAAGGCCGCTTTAGCGATATCAAAAGCCACAGCAAGAGCTTCTCCGTTATTGCCGAGTACTTGGTATACAAATTCATTAATGGCTGTGAGTAGGTCAGCGGTAGACCGGGCAAAGCGGAAACCATATTGCTTGTCAGAGAACAGATCATGGGATGTGATGTGCTTCACCACTTCAGCGTTGATTAAAGCCTCGAAGACTTTGACAAATAGTGGTAGAAGACTGATAGAACGGTAGTTAGATGGGTCAGAAATGTCTCCAGAGTTCTTGAAAACAAGGACAACAGATGAGAACTTTCAACAGGCTGGAAAGCAAGAGTTAGTGAGGCAATATTTATATAGTTTGGAGAGGACTGAAGCCAGTTCAGGGGCACATTTCTTCAGGTCTACTGCTGGTATCCCGTATCCGCCACTAGCCTTATAAGAGTCTAATTTAGAGACGATGTCCAGTACCATCGATGGGGTTATGCTCTTATCACTCAATAGAGCCTCAGTTCTAGGGGGAAAATCAAGAGTGGGTACTCCGGACGAGTCGAGAGTTGAATTGGATGAGAATTTTCAAGCAAAGCATTCAGCTTTATCAGCTGAGGAAGTCAGGACCTCAAATTGGTTGAATAGAGGAGGTATTGTGGATTTGTTGTTGTTCAGTATCCTCTTGCAGATCAGACAATGATCTTTAGAACTAAACTTGCGAGATGCAATACGTTGTTTCATTCTTTCAGCTATATATATATATATATATATATATATATATATATATACTAGGTTAAAAGCCGTCTTATCGGGCAGTATTTAAGCTAGCTCCTGCGGAGTGCTCTTGATTGGGTCTTCATCACAGTAGATAGGGATGAGTAGATTCAATAGGCAACAATAAACTACTGAAGAACTCAAAATTGATCGCTGCATTTAAGTATTACATTAATATTTAAGCTTATATTTTAAAACTTCAACGATAATTCTTCTGTCGCCACTTAATTTAAAGACAATTCGATGTACGTAGGCCCTTACTTTCTGTACAAAGAATTATTTTTATTTCATGGGTTACTTTCGCTGGATTTCGCAATTAATTCCGATTATTTCTAAATTTATTTCCAAGTTATAAAAATTGTTATCGTACAAAAAATTAATCGCAAAAAATCACGTAAAATCGCCGAATACAATTGCATTAATGAAAACTTGGGAATCCCAAATTTCAGGATTGTGGATCCGGATCCGGCCCGGGAGGGTTTTAATTTCCTCACGGAGTCGGTCTGATTCCAAAATGGTGTGATATGTTGGGCTACGACTTCTAGGAGTAAATGTGAAAACACGAACAATTTTATTTTGAAACACTGTTATTTGAAAACAGTATTTTTTTTTTTCATTTGAATATGAGCTATTGAAAGTTAGAGCGTTGTGTCTCTTTAATTGTTTTTTATCGTTAGAAGCCAATATGGCGGAAGCCGGGAACAATCGCAGTAATGAAAACTTGGGAATCCCAAATGTCAACATTGCTGGTCCAGAATTTTTAATTTGCTCACGGAGTCGACCTGATTTCAAAATGGTATGATATCAACATATAGGAGTAACGCTGACAAAGTGTGACTCAGTGACACACTGATATTCGCATTTATTATATAGATTATTTTCCCTTCTAGTTACATGCGTTGCCCATCTTTGTCGTTGTTGCTGTTGGATGTCCACAAGAGATATGTTTTTTTTTCTTATTTTGTAAAACTCTCTGTTTGTGGTTTTGTAGTGCCAGTCTAAATGTTCTAATAAAGGCCTGAAGATTGCGTTTAAGCATGAAACAGACTTTCGCCGTTGGATTTTGACCTTATGGACGATATGGACAGTTTTTGCACTCTCTCAATTCCAACAAACGGTAAAATGGAAGAACGCTGGAAAAAAGCTAAATAAAAAATTGATAAGATGTAGCTTGTCCGTCATATTTAACGAAAGATATTTAAAGGTTGCTATCCAATGATAAATATATATATATATATATATATATATATATATATATATATATATATATATATATATATATATATATGGAAAATTAGTCTTTCCATTTTAAAAAATTAATGAATTATTTATTTATTTCCGTACTGCTTAAAACTTCCATTACCATTGTATATGTGTTTGGTCCTTGTATAAATTGTATGCAGGTTAAAATATGCTTTCCCGCTATTGCTACTTCTCTTCCGAAATGCACGTGTACACAACGCACCTCCGACGTGTATTGTGTGCGCACGCGCGTGTGTGGTGTGGTCGTTCCGTCTTGAGAGAATCGGCACTCACGTGCGTACAAAGCAAACTCTCCGCTTCAACCACCTCATTTCTCTCTCTCTCTCTCCCTCCCTCCCTCCCTCCCTCTCGCTCCTGTCTTCAGTCTTTGACAGTTACGTCTATCGCTTCTACATAATTCGTTTCATATAGCGTCAGACATAAATTAAATATATTATTAATATAATATAAATTAATCGTTTTAAATTTTAGTTTTCTTATTTTTATTGCAAGTATTTCTTTCGTTTTTTTCTTAACGCCCTCATCCATTTTTAACAGTTAAACACATCCCGCGAGACTTTTTAAACGATTCTTAAAAAATTAAACTAAAAACGCTTCTAATTATCATTTTTTTTATCCATATACTATGATTCTTCTTACTTTAAAAGTTCAATACCTTTACTCTTCTTAGCAATTATTTGTACAATTCTGGCACGGTGCTACAAAATTTAAAAAAATCAGATGTTAAAAGTGGAGGTGCAAAATCAGATTCCTGATCCTCCCGTACGGCAAAAAAGGAATATTTCCAAATCAATTATCTATTTTTTTTTTCTCTTCGTTTTTATACTGATTTTCTAGAATGGGACCGACACACATCTTCTGCATAAAATACTTGTATTGAAGTTTTAGAAGCTGTTCAAGTTTCGAAAAAAGAATAGGAAAATGAAGTTTTCTTAGTAATTTTGAAAATTAATGCCAGTGGCAGTTATGATTTTATTTTTAGACAAATGATACAGCTCAGCTCAATCGCATTGTTATAGAATCTAGATTAAGGCCAGAAAGACAAATTTTTTAGTCTTATGTTTTTAGGTTTTTTCAGTTCTAGCAAAAAAGTAATGAGGGGACTTGAGCAACCACCATCACTATATAGCGCCTTATATATATATATATATATATATATATATATATATATATAAATTATTTTGTCCTTTCATCAATAAATGGCTATCGTCATATTTACGATGCACAGCTTACACAGCTACATATGTACGATGTGGTACGCCCACAAATATAGACATTTGTTGGGTACATACATTCACTTTTGATGCGTAGATTTTCTAATCAGGGAACTACAATGGCTAAGAATGGTACTTGAGTGAATTTTGTTGAATATTATTAATTAATTACACAAACAAAAAAAAGTAATAAAATAAAAAAAATCACGCCTACACACGAAGGCAGAGTGCATTTGATTTCTTCCTTTCGCGTTTTCCGATTTTTGTTCTCATTTACGCAGTAGAGTCTCAAGACTGAAATTTCATTCATTTCGATTTATTGTTCTTTAACAGCTGTAGCTATGAAAGCTATATTTTCTTCCGTCTTTCTGTTTCAAAATAAAGCAGAGTTTCCCGGTTTCTGTCTCTCTTAATAATAATACCTCTCCTCTTCGAGAGCACGTTAAACAACACAGGCGACTGCTAGTAGTAGTTAGACGCGAAAGTGAGTTCGATCCTGACCGATTTGCTTTTTTTACTGTGGCTATAAAGCAAATATTGTTAAGAAGTTGTTGCGAACTATGACCGGTTCACTGTAAAGGAACCGACACAGAAAGGAAGATATTAATTAACATATACGTTCTCTTTTTGCATATATGTGTCATTCGCTCTTTCTTTCTTTCTTTCTTTCTTTCTCTCTCTCTCTCTCTCTCTCTCTCTCATACACACATACTCACACACGCGCGCGCATACACATACACACACACACAAAGAGACACACACAGCAATATCCTTATTACAATTATAAATTAGTAGCGGCGGCGCTATGCTCTTCTTTTTTCTCTTTCTCACTTCGAAACTGATATTATTTTCAGCAGAGACGCAGACCTCACGCGTTCCTCATTTGCATAATTATCAATTATAGAGGTTTGTTCAGTAAATATATTTTTACATAAAATTCAGCCGTTTCAAAATGGCAGCGTAACAGTGAGTGTTACTGATTTAACTATAAATATGAATATTTTTGACGCTTGTCATTAAGCATTGTCTAAGAAGTTATCCTCGTAGGGTATTCACTTGTACAATGAGCTTGAATCTCACTGGATACCTCATTACTATGACCTTAAACCAGACTAGGCTAACATGCACACACATACACGCACATTATGTGCGTGTATGTAAATCCATTTCGTTGATACTAATTTCTGTCGGATTTTTGTCAACAATACAATTATTACAATACATATATAATGGCCAGCTATTCGTATTCCCAGTATCCCCGTTGCAGGCGCCTGCCCAGGCAAATTTGTGTTTGTTCAACACTCTCAGTGGAACCCCCTGGTTGAAACTATAACTATGTTGAGCAAACCATAGTTACAAATAGTCTCTTTAGGAAAGAGCGCATTGAACAACGCCATTCCGCACAAACCATCAGTCACGATGACTTGTGATTTCATGTCAGCAAGATGATCGACGGCTTCCAAACAGTTTCGTCTACGCAATTTCACTAATGAGGGTTAGGGTCAAACTTTGGTGTATGGTTTTCAGCCTTTTTCCAAATGTGCTGCGCGCTGGGATCGCCTCGCCGGACCGGTAACATTAAGAAGTCACCTTTCTAATATATCGACCATAGTGAGATTGGGACCCGGGTTTCATGATCAGAAAGCGAAGCTTCTAACCATGCACCCATAGACATACTTGTATACATACATATATGCACACACGCATGCACACGCGCTCGTATACACACACGCACACACAGATAGATAGATAGATAGATAGATAGATAGATAGATAGATAGATAGATAGATAGATAGTGTAAACATAGGGATCAACACTCAAAGATGAATGCCAGTTTCACGCCTTAGTGCAATCTTAAAACCGTATATATATATATATATATATATATATATATAAATCACAAAATTAAAGTCTCATAGGAAATCAGAAAAATGCTCCGATATATAGAAATGTTTTTTTTTAAAGAAAAGCTTAACAAAGAAGTTTCGTTGGTTTTTAAGCAAACATGTATAAATGGAGAACTGCCACCCAAATTCCCCAATCTCTCTCTCTCTCTCTATATATATATATATATATATATATATATATATATATATATATATATATATATATATATGCGTATATATATGTGTGCGTGTGTGTGTGTGCGTGTGTGCGTGCTAGAGCAAATTTAATGTATGTTGCTACAACCCTTTGTAAACCGTTCCTTATAGAGACGGTAGCAACCATATATTAAGGTAATCAATTTTTTCAACGTCGAATTTCCTGAAACATTTGGATAACACCTCGCATATTCTTCAGCGCATATGAATATTCACGATAAAGATGGCTTCTATTTTGGGTTAAAAACAACGCCAATAGCTGCGTGGTACAATACGCCCGATCCAGCTGTGGTTCCTCCCATAAACGGGGCTGGAGGTTCGATTCTTACTGGCGAGCACATTTTCTTTTTAAAACTCGAATACGCAGTCCGATAGACACATTAAAGTAAAAAATAAAAATGAGGCATCTATTTCAAATCCGAGTATCCACAATAATATCGTTTGAAGTAATATACATATGTGTGTGGGGGGGGTGTTAAAGTTATATATATTGCTTATATCATCACTTGCTTTGATAAAGTCGAATAACGAAACGCGTCGGCAAGGACTAAGTAGTATTTTCTGATTGTCTATTTTCGATATATATATATATATATATATATATATATATATATATATATATATATATATATATATTAGCTTAAAAGTCGCCATGTCAGGCGGCATTTAAGCTAGCTCTTGGCTGGGCGTTCATCATAGTAGGTAGGGATGAGTAGTTACAATAGGCAACAATAAACTACTGAAGAACTCAAAATTGATCGCTGCATTTAAGTATTACATTAATATTTAAGCTTACCTACAAAGATAATTTTTCTGTCGCCACTTAATCTAAAGGCAGTTTGATGTACGTAGGTCCTTACTTTCCGTACAAACGATTATTTTTATTTCATGGGTGACTTTCGTTGGATTTCGCAATTAATTGCGATTATTCCCAAATTTATTTCCAAGGTATAAAAAATTTAATCGTACAAAAAAATTAATCGCAAAAAATCACGTAAAAAAGTCGCCGAAAACATTCGCAGTAATGAAAACTTAGGACTCCAAAATTTCAGGATTGTATGTTCGCATCCGGCTCGGGATGGTTTTAATTTGCTCACGGAATCGACCTGATTCCAAAATGGTATAATATGTTGGGCTGCGTCCTTTAGGAGTAAACTTGAAAAAGTGTGACCCAGTGACTCACTGACATTCGCATTTATTATATATGTTACTACTGTTCACCCACTACAAAGCCCAAGAGCTACTCAAGGTAGAATGTTAGAAAATGTGAATGGTGTAAGCGTGTACTAGGGGGGAGGGAGGGGACTAGGGATACATACTATGAGGACATTTAAGATAGATAACAGCTGATACCCCAAACTGAAAGAGGGCAAAATTGTAGTGATCAGGGAATCATCTTTTCGGGAGTCCGTTCCACAATGCAACAGTATCGAGAAAGAAGCTGCAGTCTGGCCCAGATGTGGGAGCAATACATTATTTTTGGTCTATGGCAGGATGAATCCGGTACTTTCTAGAGTGATACAGGGAGATGACCATTTTTCCAGCATCTTTAGTGATGGATCATATATACAAATTCTACTTTAGTTCCAGTGTGAGCTTGAATCCCAATAGACATTCCAAACAAGGAGCCTCGTTGAGAATACAATTATTCATCATAAGTGGAGAAAACACAAAGTTTGCATTGTGATGATGAAACGTTACTATCTTGATTTTTGTGGTATAGAATGTTGCAAACCAGTTCTTACTCCATTGAGCTGTAAGAGCTAGGTCAGGGGAGAGATCAGCTGCCAGGTTCTGGTCATCTAGATTTTTGGTGGTTCTCCCATAAATCGTCGTATTGTCTGCCATATATATTCATTAGTAATCTGCGTAATTTTAAGACTCCTTTTATTGACATGTTCAAAGTTGGTAACTGCCCTCCCCTTTGATGCTTAGGATTGACCAATACTTTGAGCATTGATTCGTTTTTTACGGCTTATCAACCATTTGCAGGTTATTTAAAGCCAGAAAATATTTTCATATTATAAGAATATATTTTTTTTGGTGGGTTGATAATGATTTAGTGATACAAATCTGACTAATTAGCCCATAGTTGGGGAAGAAGAGATGGATTCATACCTTTCCCAAGGCTATTTGCCGGTTAGTGAATATAAAGAATTCAACAGGAATTGGAACTCGTCTCTCCGATTAACTATTCCAGGACATTATCCATTACACCAGCCGCACATCAAAGCTTACAGCACTTGGTATTCCCAAGCGGTCGCCCATTTAGGTACTGACCATGCTCAATGTTGCTTAAATTCGGTTATCATATGGGAACTGATGTTTGGTGTGGCCGTAAGCCATGCATTGGGTAAACAAATCTTTCAAAGCTCTTAATGTTCCAACAATATGGTGTCCATGTTTGGGCACCTAGAGGTGGCGTAATAGATAGCAAGCTTATCTCGCTAGAACAATTTACGACTGAGTAGTGAGTTCGATCCTCACTGGGTTGCCCCTTACTTTCGGCCTTGTGCCACATCCAAACTACACTTGGAAAATCACTATAGTGTACATGCTTCACATCTATAGTACAATGTACTGACAACTCTTGCTGCATGTAAAATCTAAGTCCAGTATGGCACAAGGCCACCATGTCTCCAATGAAGCTGAGTTTGATGGTTTCATTTTGTTTGACAGCATGTTAACTCATAAATATATGTGTTTGCTTGGCACGCTAGAACAATTACGACTGAGTAGTGAGTTCGATCCTCACTGGGTGCCCCCTAATTTCGGCCTTGTGCCACATCTAAGCTACGCTTGGAAAATCACTATATGTGTGTGTGCGCGCGCGCGCATGTACTAGCTTGAGTCATAAATAATTTCCGTTTTTATCAATTTTACTTTTTGAAAAATAAAGTATAATAATATTTCATTCAATTATTGCACATTATTTGCAGTGATTTGTTCCTACTTATCAGACAGTTTTTTATGCCTTTTTTAGCAAAGTTTCCCAGATTTTTATGTAAAAAAGTTTTTGACGAACTCTTGCATCTGATTTTCATTAAGGACAGTTTTCCACATCAAAACGTTTTGCACCGATCAAAAAGGTAATGACACACAGCCAAGTGAATATGGTGTAAAGGAAATAGAGCAGACCAACTGAGTTTCAAAATTTTTCCTGCGTTATTCTTGCTGTATGCAGCGTTGTGTTGTTATATAAGAGAACAACATTTTTTCCTACTGACGAGTGCAAGGTGCTTTTCAACCAAACTTTTATGGGCACGTTACAGCTGCTGGACGTATAAATGTGCACCTAGCATTGGAGTTGACCATCTTGCAGGGTAATGTCTATATTATCTCCTGTGTCAAAATTACTTTATTCCTGAACTGAACGCAATTGAAACCAACAGTGCTTCAGTTCAACGTCATTTTTTTTTAAAATCATTTCACCCCAAGCAGGATGACAATGCCACTAAGACGCATGTGGTTAGTGGGAGTGAGTGGGAGTGAAAACGAATGCCAAGAATTTAGTGAGGAGAAGTGAGAAAGAAGGACGAAAAAAAAAAAAAGAATAGGATTCAGAAAGACAACAGATGGCGATTGGCGTTACATTTTAAATTTTGAAGATTGTAGTTGGCAGGGAAGCAAGAAATGGGAAGGGAGTTCTACAAACAAGAAGCACGAGAAAAGAAACTATTAGAATAGAACATAAGGTTGCGTCTAGGTGGTTCAGCGGTAAGACTTTTTACTCGCCGCAGAGTTTTAGAGTTTCTGAACGACAGTTTCTGTAACAAATAGACTGGAAGTGGTAAACTTGAAGAGGCTGAGGAATACATCAGCTGAAACAGTAACAACAGTAAGTAAAGTATATCGACAAAACAATATTTGTTATAAAAGTCTTAGTTTCGATAATATGTGTGTTTTTTTTTTTAATTTGCTCATAAAGTAAACTTTGACTAAATCGGTCTAGAAATTTAGGATCAATGAGATACAGGGCCTGTGAAATCTAAAATTGGAAACAGCAGACTTGTCAATCTAAAAAAAACAAGGAGATTTTACCAAAAAAAAAAAAAAAGAGAGAAACGAAAAGATTTCAAAATCAGCCCTAAAAGGTTAACTTCTACAAATACCCAACCTTGTCTAATAATGGACTCTGCTCAATGGCCGTTAGATAGCGTGTCAATCAGGGGTATAAAGCACTTCCTCTCTCTTTTATTCTCTCATCTCCGAGATGCGGTACGACATTAATTTCCCCAAACCACGTGGCGCACGCACGCACGCACGCATACGCACTATGCCACAAACTTTTTTTTTCCTTTTTTTTGAGCTTTCTATATACACGTAAAAATATAATTTTCCATTTCTCTTCTTTTTATTATTATATAAAATCTTCAACGTATTATTTTGAAAGACAGCAAGCTCATTCATCCCAAGTGCAAACTCTAGAATAAGCACCTCCATTTTTTCGTTGAAAAAACAACAGAGCATGATGAAAAAGGCCCTAAACTTAAAAAAAAAAAAGCTGCATTGTCAAAATGTTTATATTATTATTAAGAAGAAAGACCAAATTTTTTTTTCTTCAGTGGTCGACGTAATGTTTACGATTAGTAGTACACTAGCGCCTTTTTTCCGATGGAAAGCACTAATTCGAAAATTCTTGCAAAAATCAAATAAATATCAGATTTTTTAAAACTTTCAGGGCTTATTCACAAATGAATGAA